ATTTCTAATTTTCTCTGAAGTTCTTCTGCATAGCTGTGCAGCATATTTGGAGTTGTGTGTAGTAGTCAGGAGATTGTAGATGTTTAGTCCTCAGAGAATGAAGTTGTGTTTCTTGCAAAGGCTTAGAAAATATATGTCGCTGTTGAGTCTGGCTTCTTTCTTTTTTATGTTGTACAGTTTCCATTTCAGACGGCTGAATTCGATATCTTCCATGTTGCAGGGGTTTAGGTTGTAGCCGTGTTGGTCTAAGGATATAGGCAGACAAGGTTCCTTGGGTGAATTTGATATATTTTATTAGACCAACCCAAATAGTTGGAGAATAGTTATTAAGCAAGCTTTCGGGTTCAAAAACCCTTCGTCAAGCTAAGGAAGCTTCAGCAGTTGGTGTGTGCTCTTCCTGGATGGAATGAAAAGTAAACAAGCCAGGGGCTGGGCTGGACTGGGGAGTCAGTTGCCAGGCAGTTATTTCCGCATAAATTTATGAACTTAATATGAATAGCTATTGTTAAACCATATATATATATATATATATACACACACACACATATATATATATTTGTCATAATAGAATGAAAATGTCCTTTTTTTTCTTATTTAGAGGCCCCTCATATTGTGAGGCCCTAAACTGTAGCTTAAATAGCTTAAGCCTAAATCCGGCACTGTGCACAGTAGCGTCTTGTGTAAACACGCCTAGTATCTACATCCCAGAACCTAGCACTGCAATTGGGTTGATTGATTGCTAATAACGAAGTTAAAGGCTTAATGGAGAAATTAACCAGGCTGTCATTTGTGGAAGTGGCCCAGTGAGGTCAGGGTTAAGGCACATTGGGGCAAAGTAGGCTGAGTTTCTACTTCTGCTATAGGTATCTTGTATAGCGGGTAGGAACTTCACTCTCCAGGGTTGGAATCTTTTTCCAACAATTCAGAACTTTTTTTCAGAAAAAAATAAGCCTGACTTCCTAATACAAAAGAGCTTCCTAGATTGTCTGGGCTACGAAGACTAATGTCTTAATGCAGTGGTGCTTAATCTTTGGCCCTGTGGGCCAGATGAGTAGAGTGGGGCCAGTCCATGGGCTAGATTGAGCCCCACATTCCAGGATCAGGCCCTGTGTTGCCTCCATGTTGCTTCTGAAGGCCAGAGCTAGGCCCAGGTGGCCTGAAACACCCCTGCCCAGGCCTGCACACAAGGATTGGGCCCTGGCAACTTGTACCACTCCCACCCAGTCCCATTTGTTAGGATCAGGCCCCATACCACCCCCATCTGGCCCCAAATGCCAGGATTAAGCCGTGGTACCCTGCATGACTGATCTAGTGTAGGGCTTCAGGCTCTTCCATGGTCTGGAAATGTAGCAGGAGAGAAACAATGCCACCGCTCTACTACTGCCACATTTTCAGACCTGTGGGAAGCCCCGCAGGCTGGATGACATGGCACTGGAGATAGGATCTGGCCCACAGGCTGAGGCTTGAGCATCCCTTTCTTAATGGGTTCGGTGACAGACTTCAAGTACTGTAGGAGGTGAGCCCAACCTCTGCATTCATGAGTTAAGGCGTTGCTGGCAGACTAATTCTGGAACTTAGTGCCAAAGTACATTGAAGAGTGGGCTGCTCCCCATACTTACCTCAATTTTATACTGGTTTTACTCCATTGACTGCAATGGAACTACTCCAGTTATGCACAAGTGTAGCAGAAAAGAACCTTGTCCAGAGAGTATATGAACCATGGGACTATCAGCAGTACTAGGAGGAGAAGAGCAGATTCTGACATCTGGTAAGTAACATATTTTTAACCATGACTCTTGTTTAAATACAATGGGTTCTTCTCAAGCCTGATTCTAGTCATTTGGTGCTGCTTCAGCCGCAAGGTAACCCTAAGGGGGTGCCTGAGGATTCCTAAATACTCAGTACACTTAGACAGCTCGCCATGTTGTGGAGGAGATGGGGAGATGTAAAGAGAGGCCTGATCCTTGACCAAGGCAATAACATGCAGGACTCTGTTGCAGTTGTAACTAAGAGCAGCCCTTTGGATTCCCTGAGTTATACCAGGATCTAAAGTTGCCCTCACCCATGATCAAAAGCAGGAAAAAGTGTTTTTTGCTTAGGTGTGCCGAGTGTGAGTGAAGCTGACCTGGGGATCTGGCCAGCATTTTCCCAACCCTCTTTCTGAGGTAAGTAATTTTATATCTCAGGATGTTCTCAGGGAGTTATCCTTTGATATTATCTCTGTATAGTTTAACAAATGCATGTTATGAAAAGGTTCTCACTACTTCTACATTTATGCCTTTGCTTGCCTCTAGAAATTTAACAAGCAAAAAGGGGTAGAAAATTCATATTAACTAGCTTATCAGTTTTGTTTTTAAAAGAAAGATTCTTTAAATCTTAGCTTTCTAATAAAAAGTATGCTACATGGAGCTTAAACAACTTCATGGGAGAGAAGATTTCTTTCTTATATGGTGACGTATACAAAATTAAAAAGCTGAGTTATGCAGTGGTTAGACCAGAGACTGGCCATTGGGACATATGGGGCAAAGATCTGGTTTCATTGAATGCACTAGAAAACCTTGTATTGATTTCAGCACAGTCAGGATTTCATCCCTAGTTCCACTGCAAACTCTGCCATTGACCCACAATATAACTTTGGGCAAATCATTTAAACTACAACAAGAGTGTTACTTAAATGTCCCACAGTTATATTTTGAGGCTTAATTGCTTGAGAAAAGTGTATTGAAATTCTTCAGTGAAATGTGACAGCAGAACACCTAAGTGTGACATATTTCTACAGGTCATTACTCTTTTGCATTCTGTAGACCCCTTAACTCAAGCACTTACATCTAAAGCCAGGGCGTGCGCTTTTGAACTCCCTGCTGAAGAACTCTGTGGATACAAAGGGTGTGTGTCTGTGGTGAGAGAAGCACTATCTTACTGAAGTTGAGCAGAGAAAGGAAATGACTCAATCATCAAAAGGCCCTCCTTCCTCAGGGAACTGTCCTTAATCAGTATTATCCCGTTACAATAATACTATTTCAGAGGGACTGTGAACCAGAGCACTGCGTAGCCATGTAAACTGCTTCCTGTATTTGCCAAACAAAACAGCATTCAGCAATTAATAGAATTTCGCTATTAGCCTTATGATAAAACAACACAAACGTTGCTGCTAATCATATGCTCATTCATGGTGCCATGCATCCCATCTGGAAAAATCCTTTTTGTTTTGGAGCTGCCCTTTACCTACTGTGCACTTTTGCCTGGAAAAAATGTTGCTTACATTTTGCTTGGCTTAAAATGTCACAGCTGTGAAAATTGTCCTCATTACCCTTACAAGAGCTATTGCAAAGCTTCCTCATGGGATATTCTGATTAGTCATTGCTTTAGCACTAAGCTGGGCTACTTTGTGTTGCTTGCCAGGGATCCTGTAAAATCTCTACCTATTGGTCCTTGATAATAGAAAGAGGCAACTACAAAAGTTGGCAATGAAAGCTATAGAATAACATGATGGGCCTTCCAGAGCTCTGGGACCTGGACTATTACAGAAGCTCAGCTCTTTATAATTAACTGTGATTAGACACAGACACAGATGGGCAGCATCTCAGCAACAAATGAACCATTTTTCTTCCTTAATTTCATAAGAGGGAATTTCATGAGGATGACAAGAAAATGCACCTTTTAATTTTTTGTCTGTCTTTTACCATTGTCACTCCATTTCACTCTTTTTTAACCATTAACAATTATTTACCACTGCTGCTGTCATGGAAGCATGGAGATGGTGGGAGTTGGGAGACTTGCTTTGTTATAAAGCCTTGTCTCAAGTGTATAGCAGTAAAGTTGTGTTACATGAGATGGAAATTTCTCCTGTTATGCAATGAATCCATTGTTGCTGGAATCAATCAGGAACTGGGACCCCATTGTACCAGATACTATATACATATAAAATGAAAAAGTCCCTGTCATATCAGACAAGAGGCAACAGGTGGATACAACAACTGGGTTAGCATCCAGTAACAGTGGGACCATTCTGATTAATGTAATGAAAAGTGCAGTGCTGGTTACAGGTAAGATTGAGGGTGCTTCATAAGCAGATCACTACTAACATTGAAGCTTATATATCTGAAAAGTAAACTAAAATAATTTATGGGCCAATACTGAAAACCAAACCCAGTAAAATCTGCAGAAACATCAGTTTGCACCTACAACAGGTATTTGCATGAGTGAATCGGGTAACTACATGTTCAAGCATGCAGAGTATCTCCCTGTATCCAACAACACAGGTGTTTGTTCATAGAGATAATATTATTGGACAATGCCATATACATTTAGCATAAGCACTGTCTCATGCCTCATGGAAGATTGTGTCAAAGCCTTCTTACATAGGTTCAGTTACAGAAGTCAGGCTTTTGCAAGAGGAACCTTGGAGTTTGGGAGATTTCTAAATGGAGATAGAAAGTCAAAATGTAGTTATATTTCTGGGTCTTTTTGCTAATAGGACCTTTGGAATGTTTCAGTCAGGCAAAGAGTAAAACACTGCACAGGGAATAGAGCAGTAGGCTGTAAAATGAACCTTTCCTCATCTTGGAAACATATGCTAGAAATCTGAGTTAACTGTTCTTGTTTGTTGCATCAATAGAAAGATCAGAATAGGAAGCTATTATAGATCATGGCTGCACTATAAATGGTGGCTTCTCATTCAAGAGGATAAAACTCATGGTACAAGTCCATGCATGCTATAATGAAGTCATGAAGTCGGTGGGGATGATTTTTGTCCCAACATGTTTTGTTACGTGTGTTACAGATGAGAGATATTGATGATACAGTGACAAATGTAATACTTTGTTTCAGCTTCTGCGGCTTCAGGAATGCACAAAGCCTGCCCTGTGAGACTAACTGAAAACAGACGGCTACATAATGAGTCCAGAGGGGTTTATGGAGCAAAGGGGTTTATGGAATAATGAGGAAATCTCATACTTGATGGAAGCCTGGTCAAAAATAGTATCAAGGACCTTGTGAAGCAGCACTTTTACTTATGCATTTTGTATACCTATAGCAGGTGGGTCTGACCAAGGAACATCCAGGTTGGGATTTCAGCTTTGAGGTTCAAAAAGGGAGGGTGGTGGTTCCAGCTCAATATGAACAAGACATAGAATCATAGAATCATAGAAGTAGGGTCGGAAGGGACCTTGTAGATCTTCAAGTCTGACCCCCTGCCTGGGCAGGAGGAAAACTGGGCTCAATTGACCCCAGTCAGGTAGGCATCAAGCCGCCTCTTAAAGACCCCCAGGGTAGGAGCCAGCACCACTTCCCTTGGAAGTTGGTTCCAGATCCTAGCCGCCCTTACTGTGAAGTAGTTTTTACAGATGTCTAATCTAAACCTACTCTCCAACAACTTGTGGCCGTTATTCCTTGTTATCCCGGGGGGCGCTAGGGGAAACAAGGTCTCCCCCAAACCCTTCTGGTCCCCCCTAGTGAGTTTATAGACAGTCACCAGGTCCCCCCTCAGCCTTCTCTTGTGAAGGCTGAACAGGTTCAGGTCCCGTAGCCTCTCATTGTAGGGTCTGCCTTGCTGTCCCCGGATCATGCGGGTGGTCCTCCTCTGGACCCTCTCAATGTTGTCCACATCCCTCTTGAAGTGGGGTGCCCAGAACTGGACACAGGACTCCAGCTGTGGCCTGACCAGTGTCGCGTAGAGGGGGAGGATCACCTCCTTGGACCTACTTGAGATGCACCTGTGGATGCACGATAGGGTCCGGTTAGCCCTGCTGACCGTGACCTCACATTGTCGGCCCATGATCATCTTGGAGTCAATGATGACTCCAAGATCCCTTTCTGCCTCCGTACTCTCAAGAAGGGAGTTTCCCATCTGATAAGTGTGCTGCTGGTTGCTACTGCCCAAGTGCAGCACCCTGCACTTGTCCGTATTGAAACGCATCCTGTTTTTGTTAGCCCACCCTTGCAACTTATCCAGGTCTTTCTGCCGTCTTTCCCTCCCTACTAGCGTGCCCACCTCACCCCAGATTTTGGTATCATCAGCAAATTTGAACAGGTTGCTTTTCACCCTGTCGTCCAAATCACTGATAAAGAAACTGAACAGTGCGGGCCCAAGGACCGAGCCCTGGGGGACTCCGCTGCCCACTTCCCCCCAGGTCGAATATGACCCGTCCACCACCACCCTCTGAGTACGACCCTTCAGCCAATTTGCAATCCATCTGACTGTGTAGGCATCGATGTCACAGTCGCCTAGTTTTTTAATGAGGATGGGGTGGAAGACAGTGTCAAAGGCCTTGCTGAAGTCCAGAAAGACTACATCCACTGCGACACCTGCATCCAATGCTTTTGTGACCTGATCGTAAAAGGCAATCAGGTTGGTCTGACATGCCCTGCCCCTAATGAAACCATATTGGTTGCCCTTGAGCATAATCCCCGATGCCGGCCCATCACAGATGTGCTCCTTGATGATCTTCTCAAATAGGTAGCAACAAGTAGTGACAAAAAAATTAAATGCTTTCCTCAAGAGAAACCTATTCATCTCTCTGTGGTTCAGTTCTCTTTATCTATCTATCTATCTATCTATCTATCTATCGTTTTCCTGTAACACCAGTTTTTTCTGTCATCCTGAGCATGTCCACATGTTCATTAAAGCGCCTTAGGTACTGCACATTTAGTTTAGTACTAGCTTAATAAAGTACTAACTAAATGTGCAGTAACTAGAGTTACTGTGCACTAGCACCAGTGCACAATTTTTTTTGTGACACTTACTGCGCATTAGCCTAATAACACTGCACTGCACAGTAGGCTATTAACTGCCATGCTACTGTGCAGTGTTATTAGGCTAATGTGCAGTAAGTGTCTTATGTAGATGCACCCCCATCTCTTGTCACAATGGTATAGCACCTAGCACAATGAAATTCTATTAGATGTTACTGTAATACAGTTATAAAGGAGAAGAGGTGGCTTGAAAGGTACAAAAAGTTTGAGGCAGGGTAGTAACTGTGACACAACAGTAATATATAAACAGTTCAATTAGAAAGTTCATGATTGATTTTAATATTGTTACAAAAGTGTCTCCTAAAAACTGAAGAATGATTTGACCTGTCATTAGATGTTGTGGGGAAAAAACACAATAAATAAATGAAAGTTTCTGTACCGAAATCTTTATTTTTATCTCAGTAAACTCACAATGTTCTCCAACATGGGGACAATTCTGGACTATTGAAATATCCCTTGTCACAGAAATGGTTTTTAACATTCCTCATCATAACTGTAATCTGCCACTGGTGTTAAAAGTCTTGGAGAATAAAATTAGGGCTGTGGTTCACGTCTTGATGTGAACATGAAACATTCAGAGCTTCTCCCAGCTCCTGAAGAAGACATGGAGCCTACTTTTCCCTCCTTGTAAAGTCAATGAAATTATAGTAGTGGAAATAAGCGGAGTCTTGGGCATAGGCTCAACAGGGTCTGACCAACTAAAGAGAAAGTTCATACAAGGGTCAGTGAAAGAAAAATGAAAACAAGAACACCAAACCTCTGGGCTCCCAGGTTTATTTTGAACACGAATCATGAGAAAACCAAACAACATATAAAATCCCAGGGGTGTTGTGGCCTCTGGTCACAGTCCTGTCATGCAGCTTAAATCCAGAAATGTAGAAAACAGCTGAAATCAGAAATCCAGCAGTTCTGCCCCTTAAGTGCTCTCTTGTCCTGGACTCAGACAGCAGCTCTTGAAACTAGCTCAAGTTTCTTCTAAGACTAACAAAGCTTAGCTGCCCCATAGTCTTTCCCAACTGAAAGTGCCTCCTTGAATGATCTCAGCCCCATACATGCTACTTCTTCAGTCAAGTCTTTATCAGGTCACCCTGGAGTGGTGCCAAAGAATGCAACGCTCTATCACAAAAGCTGAGTCTTGTCTAGGATAAGGAAAAGCCATAGCCCGAGGCTTATCCCTTGAAATTTGAAAAGGGTGGCTATCCAACCCATCCCCTCTATCTGTCTTATACATCTAAGCAAGAGATAGCCAACAAGCTTTCCTCTGCCTCAGCACATGCAATATGTCTAATATCTTCAGGTTTTGATTCATAGGTGGGCAAGGAATAGTCCTCATTTTTACCACTGACATATATTCCGATGTCTCCAGACTAATAGGGACAGCAAACCATTTAGTGCAGATTTTATTTAATCAATTGGGAGTCTAAATGGACTTAGGCACCTAACAACAATTCTATTCCACCCTGCTTGACCACCTGAAAATCCTTTAATGCAGGGCTGTGCAACTTCTAAGTGGCTAGTGGCCAAAGCTACAGTCTCCTCTGAACCACATGCCATGTGGGTGTCCCCCCCTCAGCACTGTGTGGGAACCCTCCCACACCTGCACTGTGCACCCTCCCCCCAGATACACTGCATGCCTTCACAGTCCAGGCTCACCCTCAGCTCCCCATGCTGCACTACCCTGCTCCCTAGGGTAGGGGCAGGAAGTGGAAGCCAGTGGAGGGAGGAGGAGCCCAGAGACTCTGGCTGCTGTTGCCAGCTGGATAGCCATACTTTAATACATCTACTTTGTAACACACAATCATCTTGTCCTTAAGACTGAGTAAGAAAAATTGAAGTGAGGAAGAAAAAGACTCACCCACCTTTTCTATTAACCACTTTGCAAGTACTCAGATTGAGTGGAACAGAATTGCATTTAGCTATCTAAATCTACTTATGTGCCTAATAGGTGGAATAGACTATAGTCCTCATTGTCTCTCATCCAGTTCCTTGAAAGAGGACAGTAATTAGTAATGGTAATATTAATAACAGGAAACTCATAAGATTCTTTTTAATGAGCAAACACATCTTAAAGGAGCAGTTAAAATATTGTGAAGCCATTTCAATTTTTTTATTCCTTCAAAACTATACCATCCTCAAAGCCAGAAATGAAATTCTCATTTCTCTAAACATCTCCACTCCTCTTTTGCCTAGTTTTACCAAAATAATTTGAAACAGAACTCAGTTCTCCTTCAAATTTGCTAGCTTTACATCCCATACATATATAAGGCTAGCTAGTATATAGATACCCATATTATATATATGGGTATATATGCTAGCTAGCCTTACATATGTATGGGATGTAAGGCGTGTGTGTGTGTGTGTGTGTGTGTGTGTGTGTGTGTATATACACATAAAAACCCAAGACAGATTACAAATGAATCCTTTGTTTATTATGGCTATTTATGAGGAAAATCTTTAAGATAACAAAATTAATTCACAACAGTGGTGGCCTGTTAAATTAAAAACCTTGGACAGCATAAGAAGAAAAAATAGCTGGCTATGTTTGACAAAGGTTTAAAAAAATGTGTCTGGGATGATAAATGTCCAGGATAAAATTATTGTCCAGGGTCAAAAATTACTGGGAACAACAATACAATTAAGAAAGATAACAGAGTCTAGAATTTAAATCTTTCCTGCTTGAATGGAAAGGGCTAAATCCTGACTTTTGCTAAACCAGACTCTTACTGACTTCACTTTCATTTTGATTTGAATAAGGGTCACAGATCACAGAATCATAGAGCAGTAGGGAAGGGACCACCAGAAGTCATCTAGTCTAACCCCCTGCCTGAGGCAAGATCATCTCTATCCAAACCACCCTATTCAAATCCATTTTCTAACCCATTGCCAAACTACACAATCAGCCCTAAAAAACCACAGGACAAAACACTGTAATCTGCCACAGGTAAAACAGGAAGACCACAGCAGTCATTGTTCTGCTGCTACAAAGGTTGTTAAAATATGCTTGAGAGACCCCAAGAATAGTGGCATGCCTCCTCCTAGAGTAAAACAAAACCCCCCACAGTCCATACCAATTTGACCATAGGGTAAAATTCCTTTGTGACCCCAAATATGGCAATCTGTCTGACCCTGAGTCGGGAACCTCTGGGTTTAAGTCACAGCAGAAGCATTGGCACACCCCAGTCAATATCCCCAGCCTGGCCGCAGCCAACATCCAATGCTTCTGAGGAAGGCTTAAAAAAACCCTGATTCACATAGCAGCAGGAAGGGAAAAAATTCCTTCCCAGCCCCATGTGGAAACAAGCAAAGCCCAGAAACATGGTTTCTACCCACAGGAGAACATAGACACAGCTATATCTCAATCATCCCTGACTGATGCCTGTCCAACCTCTTCTTAAACATCTCCAATGATGGAAAGTCCATATCTTCCCCGGGCAGTCTATTCCACTGCCTCACTGTTCTAACAGTGAAGAAGTTTTTCCTAATATCCAATCCCAACCTACTTTGCTGCAACTTCAAGCCATTGGTACTTGTCCTCCTCTCTGCAGCAAGACAAAAAATATGTTTTCCCTCTTCTTTATGGCAGCCCTTCAGGTATTTGAAGACTGTTATCATGTCCCCTCTTAAGCACCTTTTCTGCAAGATGAACATACCTATTTCCTTCAACCTCTCCTCATATGACCTGCCTTCCAAAGCCTTTTGTCATCCACCTCTGGGTCCTCTCTAACTTCTCCATGTCCTTTTTAAAATGTGGAGCCGAAAATTACACACAATACTCTAGATGAGGCCCAACCAGCATTGAGTAGAGAGGCACCATTACCTCCCATATCTTGCACCTAATAAATCTATGAATGCATCACAAAACTGCATTCATCCTTTCTGCAGCTGCATCACAGCGCAGACTTATATTGAGTCTCTGACCTACCAAGACTCCCTGATCCTTCTCTGCGGTGCTGCCATCTAGCCAGAAGGCATCCATTTGTAATTGTGGTTTTGATTATTCTTCCTGAGGTGTAGCACCTTGCATTTGTCAGCAATGAACTTCTTAGCTCCAGACAAGCTTTCCAATCTGTCAAGATCTTTCTGAGTCGCACTCTTGTCTTCCAATTGGTGACGGACAGGGGGGACAAGGCTGAACTCCTCAACGGGCCAAGTCCCGGAGGACTGGAAAAGGGCCAATGTGGTCCCCATTTTCAAGAAGGGGAGGAAGGAGGACCTGGGCAGCTATAGGCCAGTCTCATCTCCATCCTTGGCAAAGTCTTTAAAAAAATTATCAAGGCTCACATTTGCGAGAGCCCGGCAGAACAAATTATGCTGAGGGGAAACCAGCACGGGTTCGTAGCAGGCAGATCGTGCCTGACTAATCTAGTCTCTTTTTATGACCAGGTTACGAAACACCTGGACACAGGAGTAGGGGTGGATGTCGTATACTTAGACTTTAGGAAGGCCTTCGATACGGTATCCCACCCCATACTGGTGAACAAGTTAAGAGGCTGTGACTTGGATGACTACACAGTCCGGTGGGTGGCGAATTGGCTAGAGGGT